AATCTGATCTGAAGCTGAAAAATTCCGCCCCCTTGGTACTAATCCCTTGAACTTTCCAATCCTAAATAGGGCAAGTTTCAGGAAAGAGCATTTCTCATTTTACAGCCTACCTGAATACTGTCTGTAACGATTTTGCTTAATCAAAAAATTAATTAAACTCTTGCTCTAATGGTCTAAACACAAGAGTCAGAGGAAGGAAGTTCTGGCCACCTGCCAAAGCTCCATCTGAGGCTCTCGGAGTTAATAATTTCCATGGTGTTTTAAGCATTTGAAACAACAAAGGCTAGCTTTCACTAATAGCACAACTGACTCTGGAAAGCCTATAAAAATGAGGCCTGCTCAAGGGTGGTTTGTATCCAGAGAATTAAGTTTTAACAAATAAAATTAAATCAACAGTCAATAAATTAAAATTTTGCTATTCTCTGATATTAATCTGCACACTTAGCCATAAGTGCTCAAGTTAATGAAAATGGGCTGTCCATGGCTCTGCTGAGATTACCCATCGCTGTTAAATGGTTTTTGGTGGGGACGGCGTGGGGATAGAGGAGAGGAGTCTCGAAAGGCATTTCTAGGCAAGATGAGGTCCCTGGGCAAGTCACGGCCCTTTTCCACATTTATGCATTTCTTACTAGTACATTACTTACTTAATCAGTCATTCTTCAGATATAAATACATACAAATTTTTTTTTTTTTTTTTTTTTTTTTTTGCTCTGTGTCAACTCTTCATAATCCAGGCTGCAAATGCAAACTGGCACCCTGCAGATGAAACAGAGCTGCAGAAGCAATTATTAGGTCTTCACAGTGTTTGCTTTTTTAAAATCTTGGTTGCCAACATTAAAAACTCAGAAGACTTCACACGAAAATGCAAACATCCAGCCAGTCCTGGAAACTGGATAACTGAGCAACTCCCGGCTGACATTTCTGCAGGGCAGCCATGGACGAGAACAGAGCAGTGGCAGCACGCTTACAACAGGCCTCACTCACGCCCAGCCTGCTTCACCTGTTGACACATCTTGCCTGGCTCTGCACTTCCTTTGTTCCTCCATAACCAGCCTGCAGGTTAACTCCCTTATGAGAAATACTGATAATGGAATGTTAATATTTGTTGGAAGGAAGGAGGGCAGGAGGGAGACAGAAATGCCAAATATTTAAAAAAGAAAACATAAGCCCACACTAATCCCTTTCATAAAATTCCTGAAGTTTCAGAACAGAAAGCACTATGTTTACGGTGTTTTTTTCAAGATATTCCTGAAGTCAACCATGGATTTTACCACATGCAAAAATTCTGTTTGCAGCTTGAATACTGAGGACAAAAATGTGATCTATTTTGAAAAGGTGATTAGCAAGAGAATTAAAATACTAGATTCTCATGGATGAAATTTCAGTCATTATTTTTTATCAACAGAATTCTCAGTAAAGACAGTCCCTGAAAAATAGAATTTACCAATGCACTACTTTGAAGCCACCACCCCCACCACACCCCTGCCCCAACTAACTTTTATTTATTTATTTATTTTGAGACAGAGTTTCGCTCTTGTCACCTAGGCTGGAGTGCAATGGCGTGATCTCAGCTCACTGCAACCTCCGCCTCCTGAGTTCAATTGATTCTCCTGCCTCAGCCTCCGAGTAGCTGGGATTATAGGCATCCACCACCAAGCCCAGCTAATTTTTGTATTTTTAGTAGAGACGGGGTTTCACCATGTTGGCCAGGTTGGTCATGAACTCCTGACCTCAGCTGATCCACCCACCTCGGCCTCCCAAAGTGCTGGGATTACAGGCATGAGCCACCGTGCCTGGCCCCAACGAACTCTTACTAAAATAAATGGTAGCTTCCATTTCTTTTTTTCCTCAAGGGTCATATGGACAATTGAGATGCTCTGTTCAAAAAGAGGTAGAAGGTGGGGGTGAAAAGAAAATGTCCATATTGACACAGAGCTGTACTCCATTTTAAGCTGTAGGTTGAACCATGTAGTTTGAGGCATCTATGCAGCCCATTTTCCATGAAGAAAAGGTCCCTCTTGATTACCACCCCTATTTCCCCCAGCCCCTACCTTCTTCTAATCATGTTTACAGCTTTTAAAAAACAGAGATACACCTTGCTTGTCACTCAACTGTCACGTACAATCCAAAAATAAAGACCATCCAGGATTCAGGACTAAAGCAGACTTGAGAACAAACCTCAAATTCCTTCCATGTTTCAATGGGGCAAGCAACGAGAATTAGAAACCAACTCTAGATATAAGAGTTCCTAAAACAACAACAACAAAAAACAGTTTTTTAATACTGCAACTGGAACTGGCACATTGACCAAATGGTCTGCTCTGCTCCAAGTGTTTATTTAAAGCAGAAATAGCTCACAAGCGATTAATAAACAGAATGGAGGACAGTAGAATGTGGAAGTCATGTTGGATCACATGTGGTTTAAAACGTGTTTTGAAACAAGCAGGCACAAACTTTCTCATAATTTAAGAGAAAACCTTAGCAATATATGAAGACCTTCAGGAAAAAAAAAAAAAAAAATCCTATGAAAGTGCCTTCTTTTAGTGCATCTAGTGATTTATTTAGTGGCTTCAAGAACTGTTCCAGTTTCCACTGTGTTAAGCTCTCTCTGTGTTAAGCAACACTGCCCCTCTTGAAGTTGACTGATGAAGAAATCTACATCCCAGATCAGATTTTTTACTTTTGATGGAAGTGGTCTCCATTAGAAGCATATGTCCTGAAGGTCTTACATCTTGGAGAAGAAAGAAGGTGCCTCAAGGCTTAAGGCTGCAAAGGATCAACTGGGCTGTAATGCTGGCTGCAAATGCCAGTGGAGATTGAATTAAGCTACTGGTTTTGTTAGGATAGTTATTATTTTGCTAGTGCTGTGGTACAATGTACAAAGTTCCTTAAGTTTTGAGTAATCTGCCTTTCCCCTTACGCCTCTATTTTTCTGTGTGCAATTTTACAGAAAGTGAGGCTTTTCAGGACTACATCTATGGCATTCAAACTGAACTTTTCACAGTCCCATTTTGTTGGTCTGCTCATATGTCATTATCCAACATTATAAACTGTAGTGACTATAGCTAGCCATAGTTTAGGGTACTCTTTAGTTGGTAACCCAGACATGTAGTTCTTAAATAAATGGCTTGTTAGGATGTCATTTTATTTTATTTATTTTTAGAGACAGGGTCTTTCTCTGTTGCCCAGGCTGGTGTAAATGGGCACAATCATAGTTTACTGCAGCCTTGAGCTCCTGGGCACAAGCAAACCTCCCACCTCAGCCTCTCAGGTAGCTGGGATTACAGGTACACACTGCCATGCCCAACTAATTTTGATTTTTCATTTTTTGTAAAGATAGGGTCTCGCTTTGTTGCTATATTACTCCATGTTCACACTGTTATGAAGGAATACCTGAGACTGGGTAATTTATAAAGAAAAGAGGTTTAATTGACTCACAGTTCCACATGGCTGGGGAAACTTACAATCATGGCGGAAGGCACCTCTTCACAGGGTGGCAGGAGAGTGAGTGCTGAGCAATGGGGGAAAAGCCCCTTATAAAACCATCAGAACTTGTGAGAACTAACTCACTATCACAAGAACAGCATAGGGGTTACTGCCCCCATGATTCAATTACTCCCACCAGGTCCCTTGCACAACACCTGGGGATTATGGGAACTACAATTCAAGATGAGATTTGGGTGGGGACACAGTCAAACCATATCAGTTGACCAGGCTGGTCTCAAGTTCCTGGCCTCAAATGATCCGTTCGCCTCAACTTCCCAAAGCACTGGGATTATAGATATCAGCCACTGTCCCCAACTTAGGAATTCATTTTAAATGCCTTCCAGTATTGTGCTGCTGCTAAAAATGCAATTCTAAAAAGTATACCCCAAACACCAAAAATATTTATGCAATATAACATTAATTAACAAGAGAAGAATTCAAAATATACACACTATAAATATAACAATGTAAAAAATATATGCAGGTGGGAGGTAACAAGTAAAAACAAACTGTACTGGAGTAGGACGACTTTAAAAATAAAATCTCTTATTTCCTACATTAGTTATTTGCTACAAATGTTTTTTTCCCCCCTGCCCCGGGATTAATCATCAGTAGGTGGAAGTTTGTAGAAAAACATTTAATATCCACAAAATGAACCACAAATGTGGCTAAACATGCCAGCTACATGACTTTTTTTTTTTTCTCTGGGACAAAGTCTTGTTCTGTTATCCAGGCTGGAATGCAATGGCGTGATCTCAGCTCACTGCAACCTCTGCCTCTCAAGTTCAAGCGATTCTTCTGGCTCAGTCCTGAGTAGCTGGGACTACAGGCACATGCCACCACTCCTGGCAAAATTTTTTTTTTTTTTTTTTGTATTTTTAGTAGAAATAGGGTTTTGGCATGTTGGCCAGGCTAATCTCGAACTCCTGACCTTGAGTGATCTACCCACCTTGGCCTCCCAAAGTGCTGGGGTTACAGGCATGAGCCACTGAGCCTGGCCTACACAATTGCTTTTCAAGTGAAATGTTTTAACATGTTAAGAGGCGAAGCACAAAAGTAGTAAATGTGTTGGTTAAACACTTTTGAATATTATTTGATTTAAACATTTCTTTTGAATGGCATGCAAGAAATGACTTAGGGGTTCTCAGGACTGAGGAATCAGGATGGGAACTTTGATAAGAGGGACCTTAGGTCAAAATCCATTGTTCTAAAACAAGGTGCTTTCCTGGCATGGGAAGCAAATGCTGGGTTTTACAAGACCACCAACCGGGGCAGTGCCTTTGACTTGGCATTTATCTACTGTGGCAACAAGCAGCAAGGTCATGATAGGGTTCCTGGTGGAATAGCCTTGCTATTTGGAATAAAAATTCCCACAAATTACCTATATATCAAAGTTATCCACTAGCTAATAAACATGGAAGTCTTCTAGCAAATAAAACATGCATATCACAAAGTCCTTTCTTTAAAAGAAAACGCAAAGAAGAGAAAGAGAAAAGAAGCTGATGAGAGTGAAGCCTGATTTAGCAGATAAGTTTATTCGACATAGTGCATGATTCAAAGCATCTGATATTCCATAGCCAACAAGGTTTCCTATTCCCTATTACAAAATACCGGATACCCTGAATATAGCTAATTCAAGGTCCTCATTCCTTTCACCCTATACCTAGAATTAAACAGGTTTCCCCATTTAGCACACATTTCACATTCACTGAAGGCTTTGGGGAGAGGGGCAAACAGAGCTTATGACTGCCCCTCTGAACCAAAGGCACTTAATGTTAAAAGATAAAGCACAGTAGAGTCACCCCACAGACATTCCTGTGTGTTCAATGGCTGAACTTCAGCATACCATCACTGGCCCATGTGGGATTCATCATAACGATGTAAAAGACATTGATTTCCTTGGAAAAACAAAGTGCAGTATGAATATAAAGGAGTCACCACCATCCCTTTTCTGAAAATAATACATAAGAGAACTCTTACTTTACATGATTAGTATCACTCAAGGTTCACACATGGAAAAAATAGCTAAAAAATAATCTATCATAAATTCTCACTATGAAGTCACAATAGAATCTGATATCCTCTTTAGAACTGATGAGTTGGAGAGAAACCCAGAGGTCATGCTGTCCATCCCCTCATTTGATAGGGGAGGGAACTTGAGGCCCAGGAAGGCCAAGTGTCAGACCTGGGGTCTAACTCCTGTGGCAGAGCCTGTGTAGGATGCGGGCCTCCTGAAGCCTAGGTCAGGGTTCCCTCCACTCCCCTTCTTCTTTAAAGACTCTCAAAAGTAAAATATGGCGATGATCTTCAAAGATGCACCACACAATAAAGCACATGCACTGACCCAGGTCAGCGATTTGGTCTCACAAGGCAGTTCCTTTGGCCGTTGGGCAGGTATGTAACCCACCTCAGGGTGGGAATTCTTGGCATGAGATCATTCAGAGTTCTGAGGGAAGCCCAGTGTAGGTCAGACACGACTCCTTCTTGGATTGGGAAAATTCTTCTCGGTTGTCAGTCCATGGTGGGCAGGCGGTCGGCCGCACAGCGGAATCCCAGATTCGAAGCAGAGCTATCAGGTGTGTTCTGGCTACGAGCAGCACAGCGATACCTGTAACAATAGGACTGTGCAGAGAGAAAAAGCAAGGTAAGTGCTACTGGGACTCTCGGCTGAGGGCTCTAACCTGTCAGATGCATGTTGCACAAAAGCACCAGCTGCAGACAGTGCTTCCCCACAACCCTGGCAGTATGGATACTTCACATGTATGCTTTAAAAAGGGCAGCACATTCAAGAATTAACCACATATTTTCCAACGTCCTTTACCTTATAAACGTAACACAGATATAGTACAAAGATGTTCCGCGTTAGATAGAACAGCAAAAAAGAAAAACATAAAAACCAATGATTGCCTAAGTTTAGGCACATCCATATAACAGAAAAGCAAGCAGCCATTGAAAGTCATGTTTTTACATAATATTTAATGACACAGGACTTTTTCATGACAAAATGTAAAATGAGGCCAGGTGCACTGGCTCACACCTGTAATCTCAACATTTTGGGAGGCTGAAATGGGAGGACTGCTTGAGGCCAGGAGCTCAAGGCCAGCCTGGGCAACACAGTAAGACCCCATCTCTACAAAAAATTAGCTAAGCATGGTGGTGTGCACCTGTAGTCCCAGCTTCTCAAGAGGTTGAAGTGGGAAGATCTCTTGAGTCCAGGTGTTTGAGGCTGCAGTGCACCATCACTGAGCCACTGTGCTAAAGTCTGGGTGACAGAGCAAGATCTTGTCTCCAAAAAAAAAAAAAAGTTAAATGAAAAAGTCAGAATATAAAGCTGTATATGTGGTATGACCTCAGTGTAGATAACTACATATGCCAAGAAAAAAAGACTGGAAGGTTCTGAATGCACCACAGTGTGCACAGCAGTTATCCCTCAAGCAACCTGAGTTTCATACTTCCTATATGAAACCTATGCAGTATTCCTATACAATAAGAATTAATATATATTAATTTTTTAAATTAAACTAAGTAATAAGTGATAGATGGCCACTGAAAAAATATTAAGAATAACACTAAGATATCATTTAATATCTAAATAATATTTATGATATCATTTACTATCTAAATCATATTTATGATCTCATTTAATACAGTAGATTGGCAAAAAATTAAACAATAAGCCTAGGAACATCAAATGTAGGAAAGGCTGTGGGACAACATTGCTTTTTAAAAATGTGTTGCTTTGGGAGTTTAAATCATAGTAACTAATAAAGCTATACAATGTTGTGTGCAGTTTGTTTTACATCTGTGTTATTAAATAAGAGCCGGGCACAAGTATACACATGCACACCAACACAGACCTTCAGCACCTAGTACACACCAGACATGGGGCTAGGCATCTTCATCTGTTACGTCATTTGATTGTAACAGCCCAGAGAAACTCAATGACTTACCCAAAATTGCACAGTTATTAAAGAAAGCAGAATTCCAGCTCAGGTCTAACTGGTGTGCTTGCTTTCCTGGCAAGATTCTATACTCCAGAGGGAAGGTTATCACAACTCATGTCTTCTTTCCCACTGCCCAATACACAAGCCCTGCATGCACTTGTACACTTGCACAAACATAAGACAGCCTAACGCACATATCCCTGCCTACCTAGCAGGTATTCAGTGATTAACCACAGATTACTTCAAAAGCCTCCACATGCCAAAAATAACCACGCATGAAACTCTTGTGCCCTAGGATTGTTCTCCGATCCAAAATAACGGAGAATAAAAATAAACTAGTCATCCTGTGTGCCATGAGTATACACTATGAGTTGGCCCAGTACAGCTCAAGTCTCCGCAAGCTGGTTAAAGAAGTTTCACAAAGAAATGTGTGGAATAACTTTAGAATCTGTGCAGAAGCGATAATTTGGAGTCAGGGGGAAGTCAGCATGCAAAAGGTTTTTTTATTTTTTAATTATTCTCCTTGCTCTCAGAAGAATAAAATGCTTCTTATCTTTATGAAAAGTATCTCTAAAGTTGACACAGAAATTCTCTGGAGCACTTCTACTGTAAAAAGAAAGACACAGTGCTTTGTCTTCTATAGATAGTGAAATGATAGCAACCAATTTTCTAATTTGCCTTGTGGTCAGTGAAGAATATGACATTAGCAATTCTCAGGTAGACAGAGGGACGATGAATTTAAAATGTGCTTGAAATAATTGATAAATTGATGGCATCTCCTACTATATGTGATGCGCATGCAACGGAAGCTCTCAAATGACTAGAGGTGACCATGGAGGAAGACAGAGCAAAAGCCTCATCCCATGCAGGGCCTACTCATTGGGCTGCTGTGAAACAACAGTGCTTTGGTATTTCCAGAACCAAGTTCCTGTGGATAATCCAGGGCCCCATGCAACCAAGCATGTGTGGCCAATTCCACACCTCAGCAAAGATCAGGTTCAGGGGGAGCTACACAGACGACATGACATTCTTGTCCCATAAATGTACACACATGACCAAAAACAATCAAGTGTTTCCTGATTGCTCACTCATTACACCCACAGAAAAGATCAGAGTAGAATTACGTTCCTGTCTTGCTGGAGATCTCAGACTGGTTGAAGAAACAGACTATACATCAAACAGCTACAAAGCATGTAGGGGTAAACAATTCTGAGGTAATTAGTAATGCAGGTGAAGGAGTTGTCCCTTGTAGAATGCCACAGATTTTAGGAAAGGCTTTTTTAGAAGGCAAAAATTGATGTGGATGAGATTTCCATGATCATGGCAGTGGTCCTCAGACCTGAGCATACATAAGAACGGCCAATACAGCTTGCTTAAATCCATGTTCCTAGGCCACCCATCCAGAAACTCTGATTCAGGAAGTCTAGTATGGGGCTCAAGAACCTACTTCTAACAAGTTTCTAGGTGCTGCTGATGCTACAGGCCCATGGGCCACACTTTGAGTAACACTGGTTTATAGGATTTAGAAGGGCAAGTTGAGAGGATAGCAAGGCCACAGCCTGATAATTTCAGAGCATGGTTTAATTATTCATTGAATATATAAGAGCTTACAATATGCCAGATGCTATTTTAGGTATGGCGGATACAATCAGAACAAGACAAACAAGATACCTGTTATCAGGGAGCTGACATTCAACAGGGAATTGTCAGACAATAAATCAACCAATACATTCAAGCTGTTTTCCAGGAGTAGTCACCTCTGCAGGAAGGAAAATAGGGAAAGAGGACTGAGAGTGACTGGGTAGCTACTTTAGATAGGGTCGTGGTCGGGAAAGGCCCCTCTAAGATCACATGTGGGCTGAGTTGCTCAAAGATCTGGAGAATGAGAATTCCGGGCAAGAGCAATGACTGTCTTTGGGGTAACTGGCTTCCTCACTAAAACAACAAAGGTATTAGCCAGCTTCTAAATAGGTCTTAGAAACCTTGTGTTCAACTGCAGGAAGATGGTAATACCCCTGCCAGCATCTGAATGTGGATATACAATTGCTGCATAAATGGGAAAGTTAAGAAAGCTCTCTGGTGATAGGGCATAGGACTTAGGTTTTTGTTGAACGGCATATTTCTACCTGTCACTTATCTCTTTTTTTTTTTTTTTTTTTTTTAGACGGGGTCTCGCTCTGTCACCCAGGCTGGAGTGCGGTGGCCGGATCTCAGCTCACTGCAAGCTCCGCCTCCCGGGTTCACGCCATTCTCCTGCCTCAGCCTCCCGAGTAGCTGGGACTACAGGCGCCCGCCACCTCGCCCGGCTAGTTTTTTGTATTTTTTAGTAGAGACGGGGTTTCACCGGGTTCGCCAGGATGGTCTCGATCTCCTGACCTTGTGATCCGCCCGTCTCGGCCTCCCAAAGTGCTGGGATTACAGGCTTGAGCCACCGCGCCCTGCCCACTTATCTCTTAAATTATATCAGAAACTATTTTAAAATAAGATGATGTTCATATGCCACAAAACCTAGCATATAACAACTCAAATGAACTGGTGGGACCTGCCCAAAGCACTGTGTTGAGGATTCTACAGCTGTGACACAGGACAGTAGAAAAGAGATATATAAGAGATTATTCCCAGGGCTGTATCTGAAGACCCTGGAATATACAGAATAATTCCATTCTTGAAAGACAAAAATTAAGTTTGCTGGAATACTATCAATTGTTTTCTTTAGGAAACATAATGATTTCATTTTTGTTTTGATCTTTATTATATATTTTCTAATTTGTATGCTATGAAAATGTTTTCTTTGTATAATAAAAAGTTTAAAATCAGTGCTTCTCCCTTCCCCACCACCAAAAGTTTTTTATTAGATCACAGCAATCCCTGACACTGTCCATTAGCCAAAATGACAATAAAAAATTAAACCTTAAAAAGCAAGACTCACTACAAAAGTTAGTATTGAGAGGTCAGAGCCATCAGTTGAGAAAACAGTCAATTCACACATCATTCCATTTCAAATGCACTCATTCACTCAGCAAACATTTATTAATCGTTCAAAGCATATAATTAAAGAGGTAAATGGCCTCATTATAAATGTCCTCATTGCTCTTTCTTTTTTTCCAACTTTATTTTTAGCACCAAAAGTGGTTCTTAAGGATGTGAGGTCTAGGTGGCTGAAAAATGGGTCATTCTATTAATTAAGAACAGGGCAAGTGGGAAGGACCTGTTTTAGTCCTATTTCATCAAGATGGCTAATTACTGTGTGAAATTGATCTCCATGTCTGTGCTAAGAATGTGATCCTAGACTTGGGAACAATCCATTTAAGATAATGACTTACCAGCCTTGGGGCTTCAAAGTCAAGTGGAACAGCAATATGGTTTTTATGAGAGGAAGACTTTTAGGGACAAAGGGCATTTTAAAGATAATTGTAGCTCATGTTAAACAAAATCATTATTGAGAACTCCACAACAGAAGAGATGTCTCAATTTCCCATCCATTGCACTTGCCACTGACACTAGACCAACTCCTTTCGCTCTTCATCTTGGCAGGAAGGTGAGGATTTCCTCAATGTTGTAGGCTGAGCTAAAGACCCAGAGGGATTAATCTAACAACATCAACAACAACGAGTATTTCTTGAGTACTTACTATGTGAACTATTCGAAGAACTTCTTATGTATTAATTCACTTGATCC